CTGTGGGTAACACATTTTTGAAATAAAATGTGGATAAACTCTATTTTGAAACAAAGTTTCTTTTGTATTAAAAGCTCTTATCCAATCATTAGCACTCAAAACAATAGTCAAAAGATGCTTCTAATTTGCAATGTTCCCCACATAGAATTACCTTAATATTGAAGCTAAAGAAAGCTTTCATGAAAGCGAAAACAGAAATTAAAATTAAAATTAAAATTAAATAAAATATTAGAAAATTCGCTAACTTGTGAAATTATAGCAGATTTTCTTGTTTTAACCAATGGGATGGATGGATTATACAATGCGCAATTAGCACCTTCTTGCATTCCTGTGCCGTTTGCCTCCCTAGTTCTTACTCGGGGCATTACTTAAAGTGTGATCGTCACATAGATGCAAAGGGTGATAACTATTTCACGAGCTATTTAGCTTCACTCCACACTCTACTGTATAATCCACGCTCCAACAATTAAAAACGTTTTAAATATTTTCAATGCTAACTGGCATTAATTTTTTTTGTAAGCCACTATTATAGATATCATTCACGGTTATAGTGCGCCCTATTCCCTCCCTTCAATTTGTTATTTGTTCACGCCCATGCAGTCATCAGTCTGTCTGTCCTGTGTATCACATGTAAACTAATCACTGTCTATTGTTATGGTAGATCGATTCTCCTGAACGTCTCAACACCCCAGCAGTTGCTCATCAGTCAACATGGCTAACGAATCCCACTAGTGGTGTTCAACAAAAGGTAAAAACAAATGACTTACTTGTTACGTCCAATGCGCATTTACCAAAGGCTTTGTTCAGGCGTTGGATTTATTACTAACAATCGTTAGTGCTGTTCTACAAAAAATAATATAAATGTTTGACCTAGTCATACGTCGAGCCAGCGTCGCGGCGAACCAAATAGTTTGAATTTAGCGCATGAACAACTCGACACATGAATAAATTGAGTTCGGCGCGACCGTAGCACGGCATTGGCACGGCAGAGTCAGTCGTGCTGCACGGCAAAAGCTCGACGCTGATTCAAATGTCGAGAGCTATCGTCGTGCCGAACTTGCACAAAATATCTGTCTTCGACAATAATAATGGATGTAAATTGCGTATCATCGGATTTTTCTTATGATTTTAACAGTATTTGGTTCGACGTATGAATCAACGCCGTACCGAATGTATTTGTGTTGACACCAATTGACTATTTGGTTCGGCGCGACAATAGTACGACGTATGAACCGGGGATTAGCTCATTTCGGGAAACATTGAGCTTACCCATTTACGCGTCTGGTGAGATGAATGAATGATTCTCTCTTTCAATTATCTATCTATTACGTCATTAACGAGCGCGTGTTTATTTTGTCATTTTTGGACGAAACCGCTGTACATAATTACAAGAAACATTTAGCCTTGATCGAGAGTGAGGTTTTTTTATTGATTTTTGACAATTGTATTGTGTAGGCGCAGGCTGCTGGAAAGATAACTTACACTTATCGTTCTACCTCTCCAATGAAGGTAAAAACCAATTCACAATTACAATTGGAGAATATATTGTTGCTGGAATGTCAAAACTACCTTATGCAAAACTATCCTGTTGTATCCACTCACACTAACCCAACCCGCAAAACATCGATGATTTATAAGTAATATATACAATATGAGCGGGCGATCTGTATGAGGATTTAAAACAGCGAGCTGTTTTAAACCTCATACAGATCGCCCGCGAATATTGTATATTACTTATGAAACGTTGAGGTAAACTAGCTCAGGTTTTAAAGAAACTTTTGAAAAAAAAATCTGACCGAGAAAATCAGAGTTAAAGTTTATGCAAATGAACAAGAAATCTGTATGTAATATACAACTCTCTTCATGGGCTATGATTTCTATTGTGTTTTGCCTTATGAATATTAATGAGTTTTATAAAACGTTTGGAGAAGCATGTTGTCTCGTCACAAGGCTATTCCCTTTTTTATCACTGCGACCGACATTTTGAAACCAGAAAAAGGTGACAGAATGTAGACTTCAACGTACTCTATTTCTTCCCAGGAGCAAGTTGTTTCAAGATTCCCGCATRTGGTCCAAGCCAACAAGAGATAACATTCATTGCTGGTCAGCGGTTAGTATAACTAAAACTAACCGTTTTGGCCAGCATAATTGTGTAGCTGTGATTCCATGGAAACCACAGAACAAAGACGGTTGTCTTTCAAATGCCTAATATAAAGAGGCCATGATAAATTGGTAACATTATCTAAGATCTTTGACGAATCTGAACTGGAGCTTCTGTACTGATGAGAATAACAATAGTCGAGAAAATAAAATTAAAATAAGAATTCAAAACACAGAGAGATTTTCCTAACCAGTGATGATCTTTACCCTGGCTATTCCTCTACTTTCACATCAAAAATGTAATTTCTCCTAATAGCAATTAATCCTTTTTTAAGTATCTGTTATTGGATTTATTCATTCTGAAATACGAATTTAACTTGTTCATAAGGCCAACCTATTAGGTGTATCATAACATGTAAACTYATAAACCATACAAGGGGATACAAATAAGAACACAAATTTGAATTATTGAATTCAAGTGTTAGCTTTATTATAATAGATCTAGGAGGAATATAAACTTAGAAACGAAAAATTTCTCGTTCGAAATGCCGTTAATGTGTATATCAGACTGGAATGGYAAATACTTGTGTCGCATGTCTGTACTGACGCTTTTTTTTATTTCTTGTTTAAACTTACTATAACTACACAATATTTAATTTTCGAAATGTGTAATTCAGATAAGTTATCTTAGTTGTATATTGATATTCCCCATCCTTCCTTACAGAAGGAATTTTGTTTTTGTGTTTTAAATAAGACTTGTCTTTGTGTTGTGTTCTATGTTAACAGCTCTGACACTTATTCTTTTAATGCCATTAGAGTACAGTGTCAGTATCAATAGAGTCCGGTTGAATCCTAACCAACCGCTGTACAGGTGACTACGGTCCTGCAGGCGTTTTTCACAAAGCAACGTGTCCAGTTTTTATATATCTCTGATCTAGCACGAGCTCCCGGCCCTGCTGTCAATCAATCGACGTGGTGCGCGAAATTAGTCACGTTTGTGGACATGAGGTCTGAAAAAACGAATCTCTGAACCTGAGTTGAGTAAACTAAATCTGAATGGAAAGATCAATATTTGATTTACTAAAGTAACAAAGCTGTGACTTGAAAAGCAGGTCTCGTATCATAGTACTTATGGCTATGCATTTTTTGAAAAAATGTATATATCAAAATTTTCCTTGTAATAGGAAACTATAATTTGTTTTAAATATATTTATTCTAGCATGCTTAAATGATTGTTTGAAGGTCGTCCAAGTAGATATTCCGGGTTCTTTGGAGTAGACCTTCATCTTTATTCATGTATCTAATCTACCCAGCAACGATGGAAAGGAATTATGAACAATTCTTTCTTAAGGGGAGCTATTATGAACATTAAATTGGCAACTGACTAAATCCAAGTTAACTTATCTTTGGTGAAGTGAATCAGTAATTCACTAGTTAAATTCTTCATTTTATCTTGATGTCACACAGAAAGTTGAGTTGGTAAAGTGACGACGCTACTTATAATTTAAATGATTGTTATTTATTTTCTTTACACAACTGTTATTTGGTAAGCTTTAATCTGCCTTCTATAAATCTAAAAACATTTGTTGTTTTGTGGTCCTAGATGTGAAATAGTTAACTCCAAACACTTTTCAACTCATTATAAATTTTTATTTATTTTCGCGTGATATTTTCCTAATATAATCAATCTAATTAATTCTATATATTTTGTAGTAAASAACTCAACAAAAGGACTTCGAACTTGAAAAATCTTGTTTTTACAACTAANGAGAAAAATACAGTTCTCTAAACGGTAGCATATGGCCCATTTTCCACTTCATTCTGCACAACACAATGCTACTGAAGGACAACTTCACTACTTTGAAATATATTATTTTATACGTGTAACCCTATTTTTTTATATTTACATTTATCAAAAATTCCTTTTAACAATTTTAGGACAACTCCTGTCCACAAAGCGTCCGTCAACGATTGCGCCAACGATTCCGCCCCACGTCATGCCTTGATTACCTCAATAGAGGTGTCACTAAGTGCGGTTACTACAAGATCTACGACAACAACGATAACAGTTTCCCAGTCTATTGTGACATGAAGACAGAGCCCGGAAATGCCTGGACCCTAATCATGTCCTGGAGCAACAAATATCGCCMTTATCATCAATTTTTAAAATACCCCTTTAAACAAAATTCACCCATCAACGAGAATTCACCAAACTGGAAGCAGTACCGACTGACYTTGTCTCGTATGCAGTCCATCAAGAGTCACTCGACACATTGGAGGTCAACTTGTAGCTTCCCAACCCATGGAGTCGACTACACAGACTACGTCAGAGGAAACTTCAAAGATTTTGATATTTTGAATTTCATTGGGAGKGGMGTTTGCAAGAAAGTAGAGTATGTGAATATCCGTGGCCATGTTGGTGTTCATGTAACCGCACGATGGTGGCAAYRTCTTAACYSCWYSTCCCTTCACATCGACAGTTCCTCCAAAGGATGCGCTTTCGTACCYGTCTCAGGTTCCGTTTCCAGTGAAGACAACTTTGGGTWTCKTMCTGCGYTCAACCCGAAATTCCGTTGCACTGCCAATGACCATGCAACAACTCAATGGTGGTTCGGTGGCCATCTCTGAAAGCCTTCTCAAAAGGAGACTTCGTGATTGATTCATGTATTTGAATATTGGGAAAAATAAAGATGTCTTATGATTAAACCAGAGTTAAATGTATAAGTTGTTGTTTTTTTCTTGTGTGTGTGTGTTTTTTTCTTTACTTTGTTGCGTTTAATATGGTCATGAAAAAAGTGGATAAAAAATAAAACGCTTTAGAAAAGGAGCATTTTTAGTGTCTGGTTTTGTTTGTTTCTTCACAACAACAGCGCACATAAAAGGGATTTGCGTTTAAAACAAATACAACTACAGTAAAAAGTGAAGACAACCTTGACTGTCATGTGATACACTTTTCTAGAAATTATATCATAACACACTTAATTATGCGTACAAATTTCTAGTTTTATGATAATTGAACTATAGACACTGAGTTGTTAGATCAAAATGTCAATGGAGCTCAGTGCAAAAGCCTTTTAAGTAACAATGCGCTAAAGAACTAGGGAACTCTATTGTTCTGCGGCATAGCAAGTTCCCCATGTACGACATTTCTGAAATAAAATGTGGATAAACTCTATTTTGAAACAAAGTTTCTTTTGTATTAAAAGCTCTTATCCAATCATAAGCACTCAAAACAATATCCAAAAGATGCTTCTTATTTGCTATGTTCCCCACATGGAATTGCCTTAATATTGAAGCTAAAGAAAGCTTTCATGAAGTCGGAATCAGATATTAAATAAAATATTAGAAAATTCGCTAACTTGTGAAATTATAGCAGATTTTCGTGTTTTAACCAATGGGATGGATGGATTATACAATGCACAATTATCACCTTCTTGCATTCCTATGCCGTTTGCTTCCCTAGTTCTTACTCGGGGCATTACTTAATATTTAAAAATATTTAAAAAATAGATGTCATCATCTATTAATTTTCTCGCCCTTTCTATACGACAAACTGAATTTGAGAGGTCAACAATTCATTCAACTTTGAATAAAATGAACGTAGACTATCTTTGCTATTGCGTGGGCTTCCTGTGGATACGACCATTCGCGCCAAATACCATAATCCTCCGCGCCCCACTTTTCCAACATGGCGGACGAGCTGGAGTTCGACGAAGACCTACTTTTCTCGGAATTTGATGCTATTGCGCAGCGGCCTGGGGACTTTTCGTCGTATCAGGAAGAAACTACAGAAATGTTACCTTCGGTGAGCTTAAAGGCTTTGCAAGATGAAAATAATCGCCTCAGACACTTACTAAACAAGCTGCTAGTTCCAGTAGGTCAACATGTGAATACTCAAGAAAAACCCCTTTTCCATGCAGTATTTTTTAACAACAAAACATCCACGGAAGGCCGGCAAAGACTGGAGTATTACCTGAAAACGTTGTCTGCAGTTTCTTCTGAATTGAACAATGGGCAACAGCCTTCTGCGGACGAAAATGAATCTATTTCTGTAAGTAGTTTGCAGCCTTCATTATCCACGATAAATGACTTTGTACAC